GTGTGCTTTTACTCGAGGCAGAAGCGCATCTGGAGTTTTGAGGTTGCTTCTCAAGAGGGCAAGTGTGCTTTCCTTGGCCTACGGCCTGTATCAAGCTGGACGATTTGCGCCGACAAGATGGAATTCAGCTGATCAGCCTACAAGGGACACAGTGATCCCTCCTGCACGTCTGGCCTTCTCGAATGGCCTTTTGGAGCATGAACTGAGGTGGATTGCGTCCTGTGGTGGGTTGCGGAGATGGACTTCAATCTGGCTGCGTCTTTGCCTCCTACTAGGCCCTCCCTGGCCTCAGTTCTTCTCTGAGCCTAGCTGCTTGCGAAAGTATTGCCCTTCAGTCTCTTTTGACCCAGGTCTCATCATGGACTTCGATTCGTCTCTTGGATTTCCCGGAGAGGGCCCCTGCCCCCACTGGTTGGTTGGACTCACCTCCCTCCTAACTTTTAGTGGTGTGACCCGGGCAGTAGGTGTGCGCCATGGAGACTCTGAGCGAATGCGCCAGCGAGAAGGGATTGAGCTGCCTGATGGTAGGCGTGTGATGCCTCTTACCACCTCCATCCGAGGTCAACTGGGAGCCGCTTTCAACTGCTGGTTGCGAGAAGAGGGCATGTGCTTTGAAGGGATTTTTCTATCTAGCCCCCCAGATCTTGACAAGATCAACGAGGTCCTCACCAGGTATGGACGACAGTTGTTTGCAAAAGGAAAGCCATACTATCACCTGTCAGAGACCATTAACTTGGTCAGTGCTCGAAGGCCAGTTCTTAGCAGGTCCCTCCAACAAGCTTGGGATCTGTGTGCTATGTGGACAAGCTTTGAACAGGTTGAGCATCATCGGGCGATGCCCGTACAGGTTTTGCTGGCTGTTCTTTCCACATGCCTCGCGTGGGGCTGGACTAGAGAAGCTGCTCTTTTCGCCATGTGCTGGGGAATGCTGCTCAGAAGTGGCGAACTGCTGAATGCCTGCCGACGAGACATTGTTTTCCCGCAGGACGTGAGGTATTCAATCGACCACGTCCTCATCAAGATCCTTGAGCCGAAGACGAGGTTCCGGGCTGCTCGCCATCAGTCGAGTAAACTGGAGCCTCCAGATTTGATTCAGATCGCATGGATTGGACTGGGACGGTTGAAACCTCACGAGAAAGTGTGGCCGGGCTCACCTTCGACTCTGAGGCATCGCCTAGACAAAGTGTTGACTTGGCTCGGCCTGCCGATCAAAGTGGTGAACCAGCAGAAGCCCTTGACACTGGCCTCTTTTTGCCCAGGAGGCGCGACCTACTTGATAGGTCTCACTGAGTCGGCTGAATTGGTCCGGAGACGCGGCCGCTGGTTGTCGTGGAAGGTAATGGACATTTACCTCCAAGAGGTTGCTGCAAGCGCATTCATGACGGACATCCCTGCAATCCTCACAGCCATGGAAAATTTTGAATCTGTGCTGCAGCTCAGTGTCAAGTTCTTTAATTCAGGTTTTCCCGAGAAAGCTTGGAACCTTCTCTTCAAACAGCATGCTGTCGGTGATTCTTTTGAACAGGCGGGGAGAGTGGGTCAGAAACTTGATGCCTAGAAGGCAGGCCACCTCACACTGTGTCA